GCACACAGGCACTGCCATGTTGAAAAAGGAATGGAAACAAACTGTTGAGACAAAGTCAGAAGAAATACTAGTTTCTGTATAACTCTGAATACATCCAATTTGTAATAATGTTTGAGAAACTCTAATATGTCTGACTTGGGATGTCATAATATTTAAAGGTTCAGTGTGTAACATTTAGGAGGATCTATTGGCAGAAATGGAATATAATATTCATAGCTATGTTTTCATAAGTGTATAATCATCTGAAAATAAGAATCATTGTGCTTTCATTACCTTAAAATGAGCCGTTTTTATCTACAGAGGGAGCAGCCTTCCATGGAGTCCGCCATGTCGAACTACCATGTTTCTACAGCAGCCGAGAAGGGACAAACCAAACACTGGCTCCAGATAGGAAGGTTTGTTTTTTTCGGGGCCACTGCAGTTTCTCCTATGTGTTTGGAAGGAGAGGGTGGAGCAAGGGAGTTGTGATCTGCAACTACACTGCTAGATAAATCCTACACACTGGACCTTTAAGTACCTAAAAACGCAAACAAATATGGACAAGTCGCAAAGGCCAAAGTCAAGCTTTAAAGGATACAGTGCTATATTGTCAGTATTTTTAACCATCACACAACTAACTCTGCAGTTTTCACTTGTCATAAACAATAGGGTGCCCGAGTGTCCAGTGGCGGAACTAGACTTTTATACAAGGGGTGGCGAGAGGGTGGTCAAGGCTTCATGAGGGGGCCATATACTAGGCCTAATAAAGGAAAATCCTGGGAATACCGTACATGGGTCGCCAGCTCTACCGACTGAGCTAACCTGATATTATTTAACCTTACTTAACATGGCTTCTTGACTGTTGAGTTAAACTCAGGAAAAAGAGCTTTATGACGGACGGAAGTGGCTGGAGGAAATGGACCTAAGTTGTACATTCAGTTTCTGTCGCACCGTCATTCATTCAGAAAATTAAAAACACCCGTGGGAAAAGTCGGTTTCTTGGCAAAACAAAGAGAAGGCTGCCACTAGACGCAACACTCAGCTCAAGGATCAAATAAAGACGCCATTGGTATGAGAATTAATGAATGACTTGCCTGGCTAGTTTCATGTTGGGAGCTGCCCGGGCTGCTGATATCTGGGCTGGGGTCTGTCTGTGCCTGATCTGTGCCTGGTTAGTTTTTTTTTAGCAAAAGAGTTGGAAATATCTTCCTTCCTCTTCATTGTTATCTGTTTATTCTGCCTTCTCTGTTTGTGTTTAAAAATCTCGCTGTTTTCGACGTGACGTGCAGTGACCTGTCAATCAACTGGGGTGGCACCCAGGGTGTCCAGTCAGGGCCAGTGCTACCCCGGCCACCCCTCTAGCTCCGCCCCTGCGAGTGTCCTATTTTTTGTGGGACTGCACAGCATTTTTATCCCCACATTTATTCCCACATATCGGCACTGAGTCCCTCATTTGATTGTTTTTCAAAAGTCAAACCCTTGCAGGGCAGACACTTTTCTAAATTTTGGCTTTCATCCAAAGCAGTGAAGGCTGTCATCTCGGGGCTGTTTGATGTCACTCAAACTACGCACAAGTAGGTCAAGTGGAGGTTACCCTGTCACCGTTTTGCTACGCTACGCCCAACGGGAAAACTGAGAGTCTCCACAAAGTCACAAGCTATGCAGACTCAGGTGGCATATAATGGAAAGTTCCACATAGAAAAGGAAATGGTGGAAAGCGACTAATGCGTAAATCCTTACCGAATATTACAATTGAACTTCCTTTTATGCTGACTGGATTTAATGTATTTAGCATAAACAATCAAGGTAAGCACCATACAGGCCAGGCTTGTGGTTCCGCTGTTTTATCTGAACGCACAGAAATGGGAAATATATGGGCTGATTTTTGTGTCAGTAGAAACTGAATCTGAACTGCTCAACTTGAATAATTGCATTAAAAAACTGAATAGCATAATTTGAATTTGTATTGTTAAACTTGAATAACTGTATTGAAAAACTGAATAGCATCATTTGAATTTGAATTTATGAGTTTGAAACTGAATTTGAGCCTCACTAAATATTCAACTTTGTATGTACTTTCAAATTCAGTTCTCTAAATTCAAATGTCGTAATCTCAACTCAATTTCAAACCACTAGATTACACATTTAAGGTCACAGACGGGTCAAGGTGTTCAGGAAGAGCAATCGAGTGCAGATGCACAGAGCTCCTTTTTGGCTAAGCAGCACGTTTGTTTTGACCATTTCCTGCTAACGTAGTTATTGTTTGTTCAAACATTTAACAAACATTTAACAAACAATAACTACGTTAGCATCACTGAGGCTCCTAGAGCTAACAATGGTTAGCATGTGCTAGCGTTACACGAACAATGAAAAACAGCATAAATTCTTAAAAACACTTCCAGTGACTTCCTCTGCTGTCTCTCCACAGACAGTTGGTACAATCCACAGTGACTTCCTCTGCCGTCTCTCCACAGACAGTTGGTACAATCCCTCTTTCAGGAACAGTCTTTCAGCCAGTCCACTGTTGTACTGACCGAGGTTGTGAAAACAGTCCGACACAAAGTGGTTCACACACAAAACCAAAATAAAAAAAAACACCAAAATACAATTATGAACCTGAAAAGAGGAATAATATGTCTCCTTTAATCATGTTGTTCTCTAGCCAATGTCTACAGGTCCAGGAAATGGTCAAAACAAACGTGCTGCTTAGCCAAAAAGGAGCTCTGTGCATCTGCACTCGATTGCTCTTCCTGAACACCTTGACCCGTCTGTGACCTTAAAAGTGTAATCTAGTGGTTTGAAACTGGGTTGAGATTAAGGGCGTTTTCACACATACCTCATTTGGTCCGGACCAACATTGTAGGTGAGAAAGGTGCCACGGACAACGGTCCGGATCAAAAGACCAACATTTGGTCCGAACTAAAGAGGTGGTCTCGGTCCGGATCAAACTGAACCATGGTTCGGTTTGTTTACAGTATGAAAACACTTTTTGGATGGTTCGGACTTTCGGACCAATTACAGGAAGTTAGGCATACGTACCATAGAAGAAGAAGAAAAACGGAAGAAAACCCCCGCCAGAACAAGCAAAAATGAGTCGTGGAAGTACGTGGGGAGAGGAGGAGATTATATGTTTAATTTCAATTTGCTCAGACGAAAACACTAAAAGTCAGTTAGAAAACACTCACAAAAATGCCGACATTTACAAAACATTTTCTGAGCGGATGAAAGAGACAGGGTACGTATTTTGCACTACGAGAACGTACATTTCTGGCGAGTATTGTGCTTGCAGTTGGTGCTGACGTTGTTGCTGCTGGTAGTAATACCATAATAATGCAATTGGGATTTACTCATTCATTTGTTCATTCATTTTCATTCATACGGAAAAGACTACCCGCCAAAATGACAACACGCCAATGTCAGACGCATGCCCGTCTACTCACCAATCAAAGGGAGACGCAACACACGTACGTTGTGACGACACGCTGTAGGTATGTCATGGAAATTTCTTTAGTTTATTTTACCGAAAATAACGGGATCAAATGTATTCAATGTAATTAAACATGAACGTTGTGAAAACGCCCTAAGACATTTGAATTTAGAGAACTGAAACTGAATTTAGAAAACTGAATTTGAAAGTACATAAAAAGTTGAATTTTTAGTGAGGCTCAAATTCAGTTTCAAACTAATAAATTCAAATTAAAATGATGCTATTCAGATTCAGTTTTTCAATACAGTTATTCAAGTTGAGCAATTCAGATTCAGTTTCTACTGACACAAAAATCAGCCCATAGACCAGATGATAGGCTTTATGTTCGGAAAAAATATCACATTGCAATTATTTTATATAGATTATATATACATATAGATATATAGATATTAGGTTTGTGATATGACATTGGAGATTTGTAGGCCAGAGCCTCTCTGCAGCCCTACAGTACTTCATTATAATGCTGTTCTATGACACTTCTGTGATTTGGATTCCCATACTCTGTTTGACCACAAGTAGTGTAACCTTAATTGGTATCATTGGTTGGCTGCCGTGGAAAAGCTCTACAGACTACAGTTTTCCTCTAGCAACATTAATTTGGCCACAGCACAGGCTAAAACACTATTACATTTTCCCAAGACAATACAGACTTTTTCCAGGATCTTAAATCATTTTAATCAATTTCCAGGTGGTTCACTGAGCAGAAAACGAGTCTCTAAATGTCCAGGTTTTCCAGGATGTGTGGGAACCCTGCACCTTTGTGAAGGTTCTGATGTTCAGTTCTTGTTGAAACTGTATTTTACCTACGTCATTTACCTCAATATAACACAACAAAGTTCAACCGGAGCAAAAACTACACCAGATCCTTCAGAAATGGAGGATTTGACAGCAGGACTGTCACATTTGACTGCATTAGCCTTCAGCTACATGTGGACCTAATAACCTGAGTTTTACACCTGCCTTCAAAAAGCTGCATGTTTATGTTTGCCTATGTTGTGTCAACATTATTTGCAGTATGTGTGGCTAATCTTGTCTCAGCTCCAGTATCAGTGATCTCTCCCACAGTGGACTTTGTGTTTGCCTTGCACATAGCAACTGACCCTTCCCTTCCCATAACCCACACCCTATATCAGCACCCACTGGGTGCATGATCTGAGGCCAACTTCTACCATTAAAGTTAAACTGGACACACAACTGCAGCACTGTATAAGACTGAGACTGCACTGTAGCCTGGCACCACGCCCGTTTGTCCAACTTATCTGAGGGTCTCCACCTGAGTCTGCACTAACCTCTCACTGCTGTGTCAACAGTAGAAGCTGAGGAAATAGAATGTTACACACAGCTAGGATTCTTTGGCTTTTTAGCGCTCACAGTTGTATGATGGAGGATGAACTGTTGACCCTTCAGTGTCGGTAACGCCACAGAATAAAAACAGAAAGTGTCTCTATTACTGCTCAGACAGGAGCGTCCAACAGGAAGACCCTACATTGTTATTCACCATTACTGCGACATGATAGCGACATACAACACTTACCCTGCCGTCTCTCTCCATACGCTGCCTGTTGAAGCAGCAGCTAGCCGAGCTGTGAGTCGCTTACTCGGTCACATCGCCGTTTTCACGGTGAGACGGTCTGACTGCCTGCAACACACAAAGCAGGATGTGCAATACTTCCGCTTCCCCGTGTGGCGACTTCCAGCAGAACCCCATTGACAAATTGTTCCATTTTAAATTTCCATCGGTATCAACGATAATGTATGCATAGTTTAATAGAAGCTGATGGACAGTAAGACTTATTGTGTGTTGGTATTACATTCGGCATCAACATGATTCATCGTACACATTTTATTAAGTACATTTACACATTTGGTGTTAGGTCCCTCTGCCTGTTGCCCAACTCGCCAACGACATCAAGGTCACACTAAATAGGTACATTTTCAAATGGAGTTCGGTATTACTCCATTTAATTCTCTATATAGTAGACAGTTTTTACAGAAGTTCACGGCAAAACACAAATATATGCGTACAGCACAGAATTCCCATCTGCTTACGGTATATGTGCATAGTAAAATGTCATGGGATTGGTGAAGTTTATGTTTCCAAGGCACATGAACGCAGCGTAGTCTACCACGTGACTGACATCAGCTGACCAGCAGGCGGAACCGAATGAAAACATGGTGGTTTTACTCAGCAGGTTAGCTGTCACAGACTGTCTGAGAGTAAGTACCGAGCGTTGTGATCGCGTATAAAGAGACTCATGTAGGGTTCGAACTGTGTGATGGAGCTGCTTTACACTGAGAGCTTACCTCAGTGTGTCCGCCCTGCTCTGGTCATACAGCCAGTCCTTCATAGGGATCTGTTTTCTCTAACTCTTCCTCACCAGGGCGGCGGTGAAAATGATGGGTCATGTGTTTGTGTATTAGAGATCAGCTCCTAACCAGCTACTGGTCTACAAACAGGCTGCTGGTACAGTGCACATGTTGTATAGTCGCCTCCAACTAGATGTGAATTGGGAGTATTTACAGTGTGCCACCACAGTTATTATAGATATCAAATCCATTCATTCATTCATTAACCATTTCGTTTTAAAGGGACTTAAATACACCGTTTACCTCTCACGTGCAGTGCTGTGCGTCCATCCAGATGGTTTTGGTGTGAGTTGCTGAGTTTTGGAGATATCTGCCCTCTCTCTAATGTAATGGAACCGGACGGCACTCAGTAACGGACAAACTAACACATTTGAGAAAACATGATATTCTACCTAAATGGACAGAAACCATCTTTAGGAAACAGTATTTGACGTGTACTGTTTTCTGCTACATGTTGGCAGTGGGCTTTATGGCCTATACTGCAGTCAGCCACCAGGGGGCGATAGAGATGTTTTGGTTTCACGTTTGGAGATCTGTCAAGTTGTCCATCTTTATGCCTTACAGCATCACTGCACAGATTGATTTGGTGATCATTTTCTCGATTATTTGATTAGTTACTTGGTCCAGCACGTGGTGAAATGTTCACAGAAACTAGTCACATTTGAAAAGCAAGTGTTTTTTTTGTTTTGTTTTAAAGACTTGGAGATTTATATTTGACAACTAATGGATTAATTGTTGCAGCTCTAATCCAGATCTTGTCTATTTTTTCATAATACCAAATGCCAAGTTACAATCCTGACAGTTCTGTCTGCTGTGTAGCTGTGTCACAAGGTGGTGGATGGACTGTGTGGGCGGGAGCCCCCTCGCAGGGGGGATTACAGCTCCACCTGGAGCCTGGAGGAGTGGCTGGAGCTCCTCAACTCCCTCACAGCCCTCTTCAGCCTGGCGGTGGGCAGCAACAGCTCTGATGAAGAGGTGAAACACACAGAAACAACAGGTTGAGGTTGTAGTAGGGGTAGAAGAAAATATTGATGTGTTTGAGTATCGTGATGTTTTAGATTTCACAAGCAAAGATTTGTGTCAGTGTTTGTCTTATTTATCTGTCATAGCAACATAGATTCCCTAAAATTAGATAATAAATGCCTTCCTTACAGCAATATATTACTCTTGTATCTTGTGATACATATCGCCAGATTACTTCCAATAAACAGCCCAAAGTCATAGAAAAGAAAGAAAGTTCCCTTTATTAACAGGATTGTTGCATCTTGTGTCCAAACTGTATTTTATTGCAGCAATTGGCTGCTCTCAGGTCAGATTCTCATGTCTTCTCCCTCTGGCGGTGTACAGGTGCTGGCCGGGCTGTCAGGTGTGGGCAGCAGTCACGCGGAGGCCGTGCTGAGCGTGATAAGAGCGAGACGGGAGGAGATCCGCCGCGCCCTGCTGGACAGAACCAACTCCATCTCTTCTGCTACTCTGCAGGACTTTGACTGGCAGCTTAAGGTGACTTCATGCTTTATACTTCAGCGTTTTCACTGGCTAGTTTACTCGTAATTTCTAATGTGTTTTTGATGCAAATGACATGAATAGATTAGCATTGTATCTTAAAGCTGCAGTACTTTTTATAAACTCTCACTATATCCTGACAGTAGAACATGAGGCAGATAATCTGTGAAACAATCAGGTTCCTCTGGTTCCTCCTAGTGCTCCTAATGGTATCTGTAAGAACCTACTGGGCCTGAACAAAAACAACCAATCAGAGCAGAGAAAGATGGGTTGTTGTTGAGTCCCATTCCCAGGGTGTCAAATAGAGAGGCTTTGGGACCCTGGGAATGAGACTCAACAATAAGCTACCTTCTAGCTTCCAACCCAAAATGTCTTTCTATCTTTCTTTGCTCTGATTGGTTGTTTTTGTCCCTTGCAAATACTGTTAGGAGCACTGGGAGGAGCCAGAGGAGAGAAGTAAACACAGGTATTGTGAAACACTGTCTCCAGCTGTGTGTAATTTTCACCTCTTCTGTTTCCTGTTCCTGTCTCCCGTCCTCTCCCCGCAGTTGGCTCTGTCCAGCGATAAGATCTCGTCTCTCCACACTCCTCTGCTCAGTCTCAGTCTGGACGTCAGAGAGAACAGAGCCCTCCGGTCTGTCACCATGGAGATGAACAGAGAGGAGTTAAATACGCTCATCAGTTCACTAGAGGCTGCTAATAAGGTAGACACACACACTAAATACTGTGTGTGTGTGTGTGTGTGTGTGTGTGTGTTAGGATTGGGTCTGGGATGGAACCAGTGGTGCAGTGATTTGAACTCCAGCAATATGAGAGTTGGCTCATGTGAATTTGAGTGCTGAGGGTGTGTGAATGAAATTAAATAAAAGTGATGCTACCTGTTTAAATAGACCTTTTTTCCAGCCATTTTGTGATTAAATAGTAGGGTAAACACAGGTGTTCCCAGTGATACCAATTAAGGTTCCATTCCATTTAGGTCAGGAAAGGCTCTGATACACTAAATGAATGGAACCTTAATTAGTATCACTGGGAACACCTGTGTTTACCCAACCCATTTTAAAGTAAAAATGGCTGCTGTAAAAAGGTGTATTAGTTTTAGTTACTTGATCAGTAGAGTAGTTTATTAACATTTTAAAACAATGTTTTGTGGGTAAACCTTACAGAAATGAATATTGTTTGTTTTCCGTAGCTGATACAAATGAGTAAAAGATCCTAAAAGAATAGACTAATCTACTAATCTAGCATAGCACTCCTGTGACACTGTCAGACTCACAACGGACATTTTTTAAAGAGAATATATAAACAATGTTTTTTTATTCCACACATTCTTCCTCCATGTCAAACCCCGGAGCACACATTACCCACAATGCCGCTAGTTCAGTCTAATGCAGCGTGGAGCCTCAAGCAGAGATGTAAACTCACTTCTTTCTGACACCGTTTCTGAACTCCGGACTGAGCGTGAGAAATTAGTGTACACACACACACACACACACACACACACACACACACACACTACTAGGCTCCACACCCCCAGCTTTTCACATTTTCAAACAAATAGTCTTCAGCCCCAACTAAAATCCCTTGAAGACATTTATTTCTGCTAACTTGACACAGCTTTGTCTGGAGCCACAACGTGCTTTTATACAACTTTGTTTACACGATAATGCAATAAGTTAATTTAGCAAAAAAAAATAGTTGAAACAGATTACATCAAAAGTTTTACATTTAAATTTGAACACAAACTTAATTTTGTAAGTGCATAAAGATGATGAAGCAGCTCTTCCTCTTAATTTTACGTGACACTAACTACAGAAACATTACGTTAAGTACTTATTACACGATACATTGTTTTCACAGTACAAATAGAAATTACAAAAACAAGTCAGTGTCACATTAAATTACTAAGGCTACGTGATCAAGAATGTTTATTATTTTTTAACTTGCAGACGTGCTCCCCAACACCTGGAAACACACGTGTGTAAAATAGGTGTAGTTTCCCTTTAAGGTAAAATCATGTGTTCTTAGAACCTTTTGTGCTGTTTCCATTTTGTGGCTTTTTATAGACTAAATAATGAACTGAAAAAAATAATGCAGGCCATCATTTTAAATACAAATGAATGAAGTTAGTCAAATGAGTCCTGGTAAACTCCTACAACGCTGTGTGCAGATTAAGTGACACTGCCAGGGGCCCTGAACCCAAGGTTGAGGATAACTCTGGGTCTGACTACAACAGTTTAGGCTGACTCTACTGACTGTTTATTAGTGTTTAATGTTGTGTTTAAAGAAACACTGCGTTTGTGAATCACTGCCACTATATAGTCCACAGTGATGGAGGCTGAACACTAGGTGGTGGCATTGTTACAGTACACAGCCACAGCTCTCCAGTATAATAGAGGCATACATCTTGTCATCACTAACATGACTGTCCGGATGCACTAAAAGCTTCACATTAAGGTACTGCGTTAAAAAAAACAACATACACACTCATCTCTGTATGAAGATACTGAACTCAAAAGCAGATCCCACAGTAGTTGGAGTATGAGTGACCGTTTTTTATTATTCCTCTGTAACAAGCAGAAAGAAACTGTTCAGTGTCCAGCTCTTTTAGAAAATTACTTTTTTACTTGAAAACAAAAAAAGAGGAAACTAAGTATTTGTGAGCTGTTTATCAGCTTTTCCACCAAACACTGCATGCTGCTGCTGGAAATGAGACTAATGAGAGCAGTGAGAGTGAATCGTATATTTGGGGGGCACGAAACCAAAACAATGACGTGAAAAGGCGCTAACAAAATGAATTATCAATTATCATCAGCTCTGTAGAGCTGCAGAGCTGATGATAATTCTCCATCACTACGAGTGTCACCTTTCACATTTCACACAATCATTTGATTTATTGTCAGTATAACAATATTGAGCAGTGCAGCTTTAAATATCCTCATTGTTATATTAACATTAATAGATTGAAATATATAACGTTTTTAAAATGTTGGCCCTGGGTCATTCAATCCAAAAATAAAACGATAATAGTAAAATGCCTTTAAAACACAGGCTGACTTTTACCACATTTTTACCAAACATCAAACCATCAGTAATTAATTTAGCTACAATGTCCATTTTTGGTAGTGGTAAATCTACACCGTATCAGTAAAGTGAGACGCTGATGGTGTATTTGTGTCTTTCAGGTGGTGCTGCAGTTAAAATGATGGAGAGATTGTGGACCACTGATCCCAGACAGGAAGTCCAGTGGATGGATGTTGTGCCAAGATTTTGCAATGTTGGAGACACAGAAACAGTTTTTTGTAATTCAGTGTTGAATATGAGCAGTTGAACACTCTCACTATTGTTTTTGTAATGCAGTGTTGCATCATGAATGTGTCAATGAAGTAAATGTTCCTTTGCTTTTTTATTACGTTGAATTTAATTCAACTAGTGTCCAGTTACATATGGTGCTCAGTGCTGGGCGGGTTGGTATCATTTGGAATTCTTTTTGTACAATTTGCTAATTCTCTAATTAGTTTGATTGAGATTGACAGTTTAAGTACTCTAGACTGCTAACTAATAACTATCAAAACTAAATGTCATAATTGAATAACAGCCATAGGTGCAAAATAAATGACATACAGTAGGAAGTAACTGTGGGTGCGAAGCTGCACTCATCTGTTAAGCAGACTTTGTGCTGGTATAAAGGCAGAAACTTAATATTAATGTAGAGTAGCCTACATGCAGGGCCAAACTGACACAATATTTTTTAACAGAAATAACCCACTATGTTTGCTGAATTTACAAGAAGGCATAAATAATTAAGAATATGTTGTAGGCAGCATTTCACAAAGTTAATAAAGTTTCCCCTGACTCAACAACTCATAAAAATGTGAGATTTTTCAGTGGAGTCTGGGGACTTCAGGGACACAGGAGTATGTTGCTGGTTAATTTGCCATGTTTACCCTCTACACAATTTTTTATTCTTCAGTAAATTTTGTGTAAATGGTACTTGCAAAATAAAAAAACTCCCTTTAAAAACCAGCAGCACATAGACGTTCAGATATATCTCCCTATGTCTCCCTAGAAAATGTAGAACAGTTTTCTTGGCTGCAAGAGTCATCATGTCTAATCACATTTCTATCGGACCACATACAGTACAATCTTATTAAAGCTGCAGTTGGTAACTTCATATTCACTGAAACTCTCACTATATCCTGACAGTAATACATGAGACAGATAATGTGTGAAACAATCAGGTTCCTCTGGCTCCTCCTAGTGCTCCTAATGACATTTGCAAGAATCTACTGGGCTGAATGAAAACAACCAAGGAAGCAGGTTTTTTCACAGATTATCTGTATCATGTACTAGTTTCAGGATGTCGTGAAACTTTCAGCAAACATGACAAAAAATATTTCTATAAAAATGACTTATTGCAGCCTCTCAGCATTCACTGCAGTTCACCACTTTATTTTGGGGTAGTGTGTCTAAAATGATGCACAAGAAATAAATAATATTTTCATCAAAATAATAGATCAGATCAAATGGTGTATCCATAAACCATGCAGTATTTGATTTCAATATTTCAGTCAGTGTGAGTGTCATATACTGTATATAACATAACAACTGAGCTGCTTTTATGACGATTGGAGGCTGGGCTACATTTTGGCGACACTGATGGTGTTAGATCCCATAGTATGTTGATAGTAGGTAGTAGTGATGTTGCTTTTGTTTTATGCCTTCATAATGAGTGGTATCATCAACACTGGAAGTATCAAAGAGACAGTTTTCCCCAGTTTCAGCACACCTGGCTACCAGCGCAGTAGAGCAATAACACATGGACATTTAAATGATGCAACAGAAGAAGGCCACGTTAAATAATTTGCTACCTGTTTCAGGAAGGAGCTCATTAACATTTATGTATGTACTATCTGGACCTGGGAAAGCGAACATAAGGTTTTATCACACACTCTCAGACATTTATTAGGTGCAGAGGAGCACCGCATGCAGTTGGTGAGGTGGAAACTGGTCCAACGTGCAGAGTGTGATGATGGAGCTCCATCAGACGCATTGTGTCTGAGAGCAGGCCAGCCAATTACATTCCAGGAAAAGAAATCATTAAAACATATGAACACATCTGGATCGTAACCATTCAACTCTTTAACCCATTAATGTCCACAGTGGAATTTTACTAGCTGAGCTGAGCACAATGTTTACTGACATTTTTCAAAGTATAAGTCTACATCATTTTTTTATTTGTTAGTCACTAGGGGTTGCTTTGTTTTGGAAAACAATTTCAGATCTTAATACTTTTAGATGCACGCATATTGTGGACTGTTAGAATATAGATTAAAATAATCACAGCTACAAATAGGGATGAACGGTCCCATGCAGGGGTCGCGTTATGCGCCAATGTATCACACATGAGTCATGTAATGATGTTGGCGATACAAATCCTACTTCCTGTTTCCAGTAGGTAGCGCTATGAGTATGACTGAATATTGGCATGTAGATGTGTTCAGGGGACAAATTTGAATCAGGATGGTCTTTAGATTGCACTGACCAAATCTGAAGTCAATCCAATCCATTCCCTAGGAGGAGTTTGTTACAGTACAACACATGCAAATCGCCAAAAATGACCACTAAATTCAAAATGGCCAACTTCCTGTTAGTGTATGGGTCTAAAAGGCTGATCATGATACATATACGTACCATTTTTCATACTAATATTGGTGAAACATGCCATTTTTCTCTCTTAAAAATAAGAATCTGAACAGTTTCATATAAATGCTAATTTGTGGCTTTTTCTTTGTCTGGTATTGCCACTGTGCAGACCTTGGAGACATTTTAAAATGTATTCCTATGGGATAACATGAGTAACCCCTAGTGACTAATGACTGTACCGTATGATCCAGAAATAGTATCTCAAAAACTACTAAGGACTAAGGAGTTATAACAACCATGGTACCATTGGATTCAGAACAACTCTAGTTTCAATAATATGCGCATGATGCAGATTAATATATGTTTTTTGGTATGTATTCATTAGTGTATAATTGTCTGAAAATAAGACGTGTTGTGTTTTCGTTACCTTAGAATGAGTCGTTTTTATCTACAGAAGGAGCAGGTCCTCTTTTACAGTAGCCCAGAACGAACAAACCAAACACTGGCTCTAGGCCTTTCGCATTTTCTATAGTTCTGTGGCCAGCTTAAGACTGCTAAAGCTTCATAATAACTTAATATAACCTTTGGACTATATTTTTGCACAGAATGAGGACTGTGGATTTTGTCCCTCATCACTTACATTGAAAGCATATTGGAATGGCCTGTAAGGATGACAGCAAACAAAACCTGTTTGGATGTACATAAGAGCATGATAGCATTGTTTTAAGAAGACTTGAAAAAAAATAACCTAACCTAAAGGCAGCCATATTTACTAATTAAAAGGAGCACTAAAATAATGCAATCTAAGAGAGGTCCCAGCATGCTCTGCATAAGTCCAGGTGTCGTTTGAGTCCATGCTGTGGCCTTGCAGTCGATTAGACAGCCAGCTGTCTGATTAATAACAAGAATGGGCACAACTGCCGACAGACACAGTCATGCTAAATGTGTTAATGGCATTCGTCTTCACTCCGGAGCTTCACGTTAATCATGAGAATGAGCGCTGCTGCTGTCAGCCGTGGACATGCTAACTGGACTAATGGCATTCTCCTCCAGCCACCGCAGCTTCAATCCAGACCTCCAGTCTCTATAAAGACCCTTCAAGTCTGCAGTCTACAGCTGGATATAAAAGAGGCAGTCAGTGCTGTCCTCAACCAAAGCTCTTGGAAGAATATGTGCATTTGTCTGTTCTCAGAGAGATGATCTTACAGTGTGCTTTAACAAGCATTAACAGGCTTTTCCCACTCAAAACTACAGGTACATTTAATGCAGTAAGAATATGGTTGTGTTAGCAGGATAAACTGTATTCATAGTAAGGTGAAAAGTGGACCGGGATGTGCGGTTTTGCAGTTGTGTATATGACATAAATTAAGGTTCTGTTCCATTCAGGTCATACAGAGTCTGGGTGCTGCTACTTTACATGTCGGTTCTTATAAACAGAAAAAATGACAAACGTGCATTTATTTTGTAAATGTTTAAGACTTCATACCTTTTCTTCAACTGAATTTAATTTAGTAAATTATTTTAAAACATCAAATTCTTCATCTAATTTGGTGGATTACAATGCACTAATGCTAACAAGCCACCCATCAGTGTTTGCTGTAAAGCAGTCTCCTTCAAGATCCACCATCATCAAACTTAAATCTTTGAGTTTTAGAAAAATAATTATGATTAAAAAATTGTTCAGTGAGCTGTGAACCTAAATCTTTATTATTTGCACCGTAAAAAAGTTGAGATAAATCATAGGGCGGTTCCGGTGACGTCAGCACAGCCAATGGCTGCTTGAGAACACAGCTCCTCCAAGAATCAATATACTATTTCACCCCAAAAAATTCTCAAGTAATATTCGTTTTTATTTATACACGGTCAAAATGTCTGGGGCGAAAACAAGAACAAGGGAAGCACCCGGAAAAAAAGGTACTGAACAGAAACCGAGGTAGTTGGCCGAGGTAATCCTAGCTCACCTGGTGTCACGGCGGCTAGCCTAGCTAAAGTTCTGGAGGAAATTCGGGATTTTCGTCAAGATATGAATAAACAGCTGAACGACATCAAGTCTGAACTCACTAAAGTTGACCAAAAAGTTGAGAAGGTGGAGAATCGCGTTGGTGAGGTAGAAGACCCAGAACATGGAACAAGTGGTAACGAAACTGCTAAAAGAAATGACCCGGCTCGATAATAAAGTGCGGAAAAATCTCAGAATATTCAATGTACCAGAAGACGCAGAGGGAGTCTAGCATGTCTGCATGGGAGAGAGTGGAAGCCCGAGGGCGGAGACGGGTGACCACACAGCAAGAGCCGGAGGACTCGTGAACGGACGGAAGATGTGAAACGGTGGTAACTGTCCCAATTCTAAAAATTATCTCACTATCTAAAAATAAATATATTCTCTTCCCTGACAAATATAAAAATATAATATACAATGGAGGGATTAGACCTTAAGTTAGCCTTTGCACTGATGGACAAAGACTTTTTTTTTTTGTTTCTCCCATTTAGAAAATTTCAGCGGAGGCCCTCAACCTATGAAACGGAGAGGCTTTCCTCCCAAGCTAGATGTTCTTTCTAGCTTAGTTAAGAGTCATTTCAGGACCTAAGCCTTGGAATCTCTGTTATCTTGTTTTTTGTTTTATTGTGTGAAAATGTCCTTTATTGTTGTTTTTTTAGGGAGTAAATCACTTGAAATCTGTCAAAGCATAATGATGCATAGACATAATCTATGGTTAGTGACAAGGTTAAAATAATTTCTTACAATGTTAACAGGCTGCTAAATCCAATCAAACGCTCTAAAATTCTAACTAAAATGAAGAAAGAGAGGGCACATGTGGTATATTCAGAAGAAACCCAAATGATATGGAGCATGAAAAACTGAAGAGAATGGGCTTTACTAACTTGTTTTTTTCATCATATAAGCCAGGACATAGGAGAGGAGTAGCCATTCTTATTTCTAAACAGGTCAATTTTGAAAAAATATCTGAAATAAAAGATAAGGAGGGTAGGTATGTTTTAATTAAGGGAAATATAGATGGAAATATAATAACTTTACTCAATATCTATGCACCCTCAGGAAGTGATATAGGATTTTTTTCAAAAGATAATTGATCTCATAATAACAGAAACAGAAGGCCTGCTAATATGTGTGTGTGTGTGGGGGGGGGTTAATATCCATCTACAACCACAACTTGATTCTTCAAGTGGGAAAACATACGAAACAAAATCTCTATATAGAAAAGTCAACACACTTTTCAAGGATGTGGGACTTATTGATATATGGAGAGAGCTATTCCCACAAAAAAGAGACTACACCCACTACTCATTCCATATATACAAGAATAGATTATTTCATAACATTTGGAAGGGACAAAGGTAAAATACATACATGTGATATTGGGACAATTGATTTGAGTGACCATGCACCTATATATCTAACTGTTGACCTTGATCTGCCACCCCGAAATTCTCTATGGAAACTAAACTCTGGCCTACTCAATAATCTGTGTTTCAAACAAGACATCAGAAAAGAAACAAGTGTTTTCCTAGAACTTAATGATAACAATGAGGTCTCACCTCATATATTGTGGGATGCTATGAAGGCTGTTTAAAAAGGTAAAATTATAGCAATAGGCGCACATAAGAAAAGACAAAGAAAAAAGGCTTTAGAGGGACTCCAACAAAAATTGAAGAATTTAGAATCAAAACATAAGAGCAGTTCAGATGGAGATACATTTCTGGAAATTGAGAAAATCCGAAATGAAATTAGAAGTTTAACCACACAAGACATCAAAGGTAACCTCATGTATCTGAAACAGAGACATTATGAAAGTGGCCCAATATCAATGAAAATACTAGCATGGAAACTGAAGAAAAAACTAGCTGAAAATACAGTTCATAAAATACGAAACCCTAAAACAAACTTAGCGAGATTCATGAAGCATTTGAAGCATTTTATAAATGTATATACAAAAGTCCCAGGAGGAAGAATAGCTCAGATTGATACTTTCTTAAACACCTTGAAATGACCCACTCTTAATGAAGAGCAAAACCAAAAGCTAATGGCTAAGATAACAGAAAACAAACTGGAAGCGGCAATTAGCAGACTTAAAGTAGGTAAATCCCCAGGTTCTGATGGTTATACAGCTGAGTGGTACAAGGGGTTTAAAAATGACTTGATTCCTATCATACTTCCTGCACTAAACTGGATCCTAGAAAAGGCACAAACACCTCCTAGTTGGAATGAGGCCATTATTTCTGCCATTCCAAAGGAAGGCAAGGATAAAACGGAGTGTGCCTCATTCAGACCAATATCTGTTTTAAATATAGACTATAGGATGTTCACTTCTATTATGGCCAGAAGACTTTAAAAGTTTATAACTAAATTGATCCATAACGATCAGACAGGATTATTAAAACCATACAAGCATTATACAATAATCCTACTGCAAGGGTCAAGGTCAATGGTTATTTATCAAATAGGTTTACCCTAGAAAGGGGTACAAGACAGGGCTGTGCATGGTCACCATTATTATTTGCACTTTCTCTTTAACCACTTGCCCAATATATAAGACAAAACAGAGAAATAAGAGGCATTCGCCTTGCGGAAAGAGAGCATAAGCTAGCAGGCTACGCAGATGATGTACTAATTTATCTTAGCCAGCCAACACACTCTTTGCCCCAGTTGATGCTGGCACTGAAGAATTATGGGCAATTATCAGGATATAAGGTTAATGTGGGTAAAACCCAAGTGCTATCATATAACTATAATCCAACATCAGAAATGGAGAACAAATACCCATGGTCATGGCAAACAAAATCCTTTAAGTACCTGGGCACAACTATTCCAAAAGATCTCTATCAACTATCAGAATATAACTACTCACCTATACACAAAAAAATCAAAGAAGATATCACAAGATGGAACCTTATCCCTTTCTTTAGTTTCAGCTCAAGATTACAATCTGTTAAAATAAACATATTACCCAGATTGTTATATCTATTTCAAACCCTACCAATAGAAGTTCCTCAAAGCCAGTTTAATGAATGGGACAAAATATTGTCTAGATACATGTGGCAAGACAAGAGACCAAGGGTTCGTCTGAAAACACTGCAGTTAGTGAAGGAGAAGGGAGGATGGAGTTTGCCAACCTTCAAGGAATACTATTATCCACCCAGACAAGAGCTATAATATGCTGGTGCAATTCTTCTTCATATTTTGCACAGTGGAAAGACATTGAAGAAAAATTATTTCCCATTCCAATACAAGCAATTATAGCTGACTCTAAACTGCAACACTACATAGAAAGTTCTGATAATCCATGGGACAAATTGACCCTTAAGGTGTGGAAAAATATCATTAGAGAATGTAAACTAGAAGGAGATCTACTGTCTCTTAAATGGTGTGGATATGACTCAGACTTCACACCAAATAAAATGGACACCAGATTAAAAAAATGGAGAGCTAATGGAATAACAGCTCTATGCAATATTATGAATGGAAACATACTGTTTAGTTTTGAAATGATTCAAGAAAATTATCTGTTGGAGAAACAGGATTTCTTTAGATACTTACAGTTGCGGCATTATGTCGACAAAAATATAAAAAATGTAACATAGGCTAATTCCAGTCTCATAGAACTGTTGATATCAGCCATATATAAATGCTTTCTAGATCTTAAAACTCATTCAACAGCATACATTAAAGCAAAATGGGAAAAGGAATCTGGGATAGATATTTCTGAGGAAGAATGGACATTAATATGGGAGAACCAATGGAAATGTACCAGCTCAAGGAGCTGGCGAGAGTTTAACTGGAAAAATTGTATAAGATATTTCATTACACCATCTCAGACATGTCATTATAGCGTTAACATCCCTGTTTGCTTGAGAAAGTGTGGACACCAAAACGCAAACCATTACCATATCTTCTGGGACTGTCCCAGCAGTAAGAATTTTTGGAAGGTGATACACAATGCTTTACAGGACATCTTTCGTGAGGACATTCCTTTGGACTCTGTATCTTGGAAATATACCTCAAAGTTGGCTGAAAGGGGACAAACTCTTGATGATTGCAATGCTGTTGGCCAGTAAAAAGACTATTACCAGAAAATGGCTACTACCAGAGTGTCCAACAATTACTTCATGGAGAGACATTGTAACATAAATCTACAGAATGGAGCAGATTACAGCTCATGTTAACCAAAGAATGGAAACATTTCTTGAGCACTGGCAAAAGTGGCGCAACTATGTCACAGAAAAATGGCCTGACTGTATTTCTTTACTCTATTAAAAATGATTTCTCCCTGTTTTATTTATAGTTTTGTTACTATGGTATTGTTTTTGTTTGTTCATTTATGTTTGTTTGTTCATTCTATCTTTTAATTTCTATACTTGAATAGTAAGAGAGTAAGTATATTGTTTGTCATATGCATAGAATCTGAACATTTGAAATATGTGTAGGCTATGTGAGATTCTGAACACTAATAAAATACAAATAATAAAAAAAGAGATAAATCATAATTACGTTCAATTTTCTATCTTAAAGTCAAATTCAAACTCTTAATCTAATAATTTATTTTAAAAAAAATCTTCAGAAAAAAAACAGTGTTTCAAAAATTGTTCATGAGTTGTGAAACAGAAATTTCATCATTTGAGAGAACATAAAATTTTGAAGCAAGCAAGTCAAACTCAAACTCAAACAAAAACTAATCAGTGGGCAGAGAGCATAGGCTGCATTGTACCTTCTGCAAATGTTGGTGGACCTGATTCAGCACATATGGAGTTTAAAAAACAACAACTTGTTGACCAATTAGCTTGGCGTGAAAAATGCATGCAAGTAGTAGTACACCATTATCTCTATCTGTTCAACCAACTAAATTATTTGGGCATAAGTTTGGATGTGGTCTTCCTAAAACCAAAAGTGGGCAGGGACAATCCATCAATTTTTTGTTGTTAATTTGGGGAAGCTGTTCATTTAAGCCTGGTTGAAATAGGTTGAACAGAAGTTGCTGTATTTATTAGAAAACGGTTTACAGAACAACCTCAATTGAGATTCAGAGCAATGTTTTGTGTAGATATTGACACATGACACTCGTAAAAAGTTCATTATCCGCACCAGATACTAATTTCAGCCGGGTACGCACTGAACCGTAGTTATTTGTATGACGTTCATATTATCATGGATGGATGGAACCTATTAGGGGGCCCTGGGGCAAAATCTTTTTGTTTGGCCCCTATCATCAACCCCCATCTTCTGAGTGTTTATCGGTTTGGAGGTTTATTAAACAACAAAAAACTAACCAATCCTCTGATAAGCAAGCAAAAAAAAAACTATATGTAGTTGGTAGAGATGTCAGCAATTTTATTTAAACTCTATTCTTTGAAGTCTCTATAAGTTGACACAAATAATTTGTATTTTGTGTTTTCTCCCTCTCACATGCATCCATATGCTCCCTCTCTCGCTCTCTCACACACATACACACACACCCATTCCTGCACAGTGTCTTATGTTGGCCCGTAAACAAGCAGAAAGACACACACACGCAAACGCACCCACACCCCATTCCACTTGAGAGCACATATAGAGCACGAGAGAAAAATTGTACAGTAATTTTACACAATAAGAGTCCAACACATGTCCTCCCCTCCACAGCCTGTGGGCAAACCAGTTGTTCGGGACATCCATTAGCTCGTCCGTCCACAGAAAACATGTGTCCACCTACTCCAGGTCCTTTGTTGTGAAGAAAGCAAAGTTGTTTTATTTTTCCGTTTTTTTTTTCTCCACCTCCCGTCCGTCCAACGCTGACGGCATGGAGACCTGCCTCGCAGGGGATATTTTTTCAGCATTGAATTCAAAAGATTGTCATCGTAATGCTGGAATGTCTTACTACAATCTACGCTTAGATAATGGTACTGTACTTTAGAGCCCCAGAAAAGATCTTAAAGAGTCCGCTTCTGTTTTTGGTTCTCCTTGTTCTTCTTAATCTAAAAAAAGTACAAGATGATTCGTTTTAAATTCTACTCACTAGATAGAAGTTAAGTTAAACCCTGTGAAAATATTGAGATTCTTGGTAAAGGCACAATATTCAGCCATGAGGAAAGAGCACACTGCTACTATTGTGTCCTGTCTGGTTTTATTATTTTTTTTGTTTAAAGCCCTGATAAAACAAGCAGCTCACATTTGTCCTAATCATCAAGTTGCAATTACTATACTGCAGCTGGGGAATCTTTGAGGAAGAAAAACATTATTTGAACCATTCATTTCAGAGTATTTCTTTTAATTTTTAGTCCAACCTTCTATCAGCAATACTGTCTCAGAAAGTGGGAACATCTCTAAAGAGAGGTTTTAAAGGATAGGTACCTGCTTGATTTTGTCCCTCATTTCTTATTATGCACTCTCATGTTTACCTCCAAATATGTGGTTTATATAATCTGGATAATAGTTGGTTTGGTTACAACCAAATCTGATCGCCTGACTGCTTGTGTATCTTGACCCGTCTCGGTTTGTTGCCGTGGCCACAGATCGCAGCCATTAACTTAGTGAGCACGATGTTAGCTGATAGAAATGATGGCCAAAATGTAATACACTGGAATTATTCTTTCAGAGCTGTTCATCCACTGTGAACATTTCGTATCCCACTCAGTGACCAAACCAGAAACCCTTCCACAACCAAAGACGTGATCCCTCCTTTACTATCAAAGCCAACAACTCTAATTTCCCATTTTATTTGTGGGCTTAAAGGCAGCAGGTTCAAAGTTAAACAATGAAAGGACCAAATCACAAAGAAAACTCATAAGAATTGTTTGCCTTCTTAGGTTTACCAAGATAAGCCGAATATGGGAGATATCAAGTGACTCTGGCCAGTACAAGCAATTACACAAACACACAACGTGTCTTTGTCTACCTGTGTGGGGGTGTGACAGCAGACAACCACACAGGGTGCCTCTCCTGTCAGTGGTAAACTGCTAGTGTTTGGGCTCAGAACAGCTCAGTATCCCTAGAAGTTACGCCCATATTAGACACCTCACAATATCTGTCCAATTTCAAGTTCAGTGCCAATGCACAAACAACACATTCTCATTCCCAACTCTTCAAATACCACCGCTTGGTCAGTGGCCGTCGCTTCAAAGTATGACAATGTATATCACTCTCCTCCTTTCTGGAGGCGCAGGGCTCTGTGGTCATGTTAGCAAGATTAAATATGCGTGTCCAGAAATGATGCTAGAGGGATACCTACAGTCATATTTTGAAGAGGGACACTGACCAAGCTGCAGCATTTGACGACTTTAGCAACCGGATGGTTCAGAAACATCACTGATGCAATGTGAATGACTAGGCAAGTGTAGTCTGGTTTGATTAATACTGGTTCCAACAGTTTGTTCATGAAACAATGATTGATGATGATGATGATTACAACTGTACATTCCTGGGGGTGACGTGGTAATGGTTTGGCAGGTACAGTGTGTAACATTTAGGATGTTCTATTGGCAGAAATATAATATAATATGTTTTTATCTACAGAGGGAGCAGGTCTTCTTCCGCCATGTTACACCCTCATTTTTCTATAATAGCCTAGAATGGACAAACCAAACAATGATTCTAGATATTTATTTTCTATTTTCCGCAGGTTTTGCCACAGTTTCTCCTACACACTTGCAAGGCGAGCAGTATTCAGTCGGTTTCAATCTGCAACTTCACCACTAGATGCCGCTAAATCCTACACTGGCTTACCCTAGGTAACCTGTATATCAACACATTGATAGCAGCATCAAATCACAAGAAGACCTGGACATGGTAACACTTTCCGTCATGTCACAGAATGTCCAGGAACTGTTTGAGGAGCATTCAGATGGAGTGACCAAGCCACAACAGGTCAAGTCATTCAATAGATCCTACTAACACCTTTAGAATGAACACAAATGCAGCCTCCATAGCAGGTCCATCCATCAACCTTAGTAAAATAGAGCGCTGGCGCCAGCTTTAACACAAGTACACTACAGAGCCATGGATAAGTCACGCTACACCTTGTAGCAGTTATCAGGGCCAACATGGTACTTACAGTGAATGGTTTCTAATTTTCTGCTCACTGAGTGCAAATTACAGAAAGTCCTATCCAGAAAGTCTGTGCTGTAGGCCTGCTTCAGCTTATATGATAAAAGCTTATAAATGTACAGGCAGATATATTAAAGGAAAACCTAAACAAAAGAGCGGGGAACATAAAGAATGTAATGTTTCTATTCAAATCACTGAATGTTTGAGGAAAATGGTGTGAATCATACACTATGGTTTTCACAGTCACCAGATCTCAACCCAACTGAACATCAGCACAGATGATGTTCTGGAGGATCCAGCGGAAGAACAATGCACTATGTTAGGTTTCCCTTAAATGAAATAGATGTCCTACTCACATAGTATTAGACATGAACTTTCATGTACTGGAAGGGAAGCCTTCTAAGTCCAACATGTGAATGTGTTTCCGTTTAGAATTCTTGTACTTTTCTTGTATAATCAACAGCTGTTATATAACCTTTATTTAATCAGGTTATCTCATTGAAGATCTCTTTTGCAAGGGAGACTTAAGTACAGCAGAGGAAAAGGAAGATAGGCACCCCTTTCCTCTTCTTTTACAGTTTTTTAGCACATAAGATCTCCCCAGCAGGCAAAACAGCACATCACTTTGTTTCAAATTGGTTTCCCCTAACTGTTATAAAGTTAAGTCCTGTCTTTCATGAAACAAATATTGGACACGCCTGGACAATTCTGTAAAAAAAAACTGTAATGGTTAGAGAGACATTATGTTTAGGGGAATGCAATTTTTTTACTGGCTGTCTGTGAGAGAAAGTCAGACTTGCTTGACATGCCCATCCATGCCCATCCATGACCTCTATACCTCACTACATACTAACACACTACTTCCTGCATTGGGAATGAACATAATTTATGAGATGAGGAACCGTTCAATATGGCAGCCCTGTCTCATTCCCAGGGCGTCAAATATCACCCATCCAGTAGCTAAAGCCCAATAAAGTACCCTCTCGGCGGCCTTTCCAGTGGAGAAAATGTGATTAAGTGCCCTTCTAGTGGACAACACATAATAAAGTACCCTCAGAGGAGCCCTTCCTGTGGAGAAAACACAATAAAGTACCCGTCAATGCCCTTCCAGTGGACAAAACATAAAGTACCCTTCAGGGTGCCCTTCCAGTGGATGAAACACAAAGTTCCCTCTAGGGAGCCCTTCCAGTTGAGAAAACACAATAAAGTACCCTTGAGGGTACCCTTTCAGTGGACAAAACATGATAAACTACCCGTTAGGGTACCCTTTCAGTTGAGAAAACGTAATGAAGTGCCCTCTTGGATGCCCTTATGGTTGATAAGACATGATAAAGTGCTCTCTAGGGTGCTAATCCTGCCCCTTCAACATTTAACCCATCTGCGTAACACAGTGAATAGAGGTGGTTTGGGTGCAAGCACAGTTTCATCCAGGAGACTGGGGTAAGTGTCCTGTGTGAAACCAAAAGTCAGTGTTGACTTATTTAAATTTTTAAATTACATCAGGTAACATGTAGTAATAGGTAAGTGACTTCACTCATTTTAAAACCAAATCATGATCTTTTCCTAAACCTAACAATAGTCTTGTTGCCTAGACGTTTTCACAATGTTAACCGCGTGTTAAAACAGGGTGTCATATGGACTCTAAAGGGTAACTTGTGCTTCTGTACATGATGGTGAGGGGAGTGACGAGGCAGATTTGGTATTTGACGACCTGGGTTGAGATTGGGTGAATATGGACGTCCTTTCTAGGGACACTTGGCTGGCTGTTACATATACTTTGTGTATGCTAATTGCTGGTCATACTTGCTCTTGCTGTCGTCACCACTAGTTTGTCTTCAAATGTGTATTTTGAACCTGGCTGTGGCACTGGAGCTGGAGCAAATTTGAACTTCGGTCTTACAACTGATCCCTAATGACTACATAAGCCTTGATAATAAGCTGAAAGGCAATCCACTGGAAAATAAATTAAGAGTAACGTTGACCTCGCACTTGCCCTTTAATTATGTAACACATTGAGGTGGATGAAGCTCTGTGCAATTCTAACAGTTATGTACAGTATCTGGTATCTGACAAAAATGTTCAATAATCTGTAACACCAGGTGTTTCAACACCAGCAGCGTGTTTTATCAGGGCTTGAAATTTTTAATGTGATTTTGAAAGTGTGGTGACATCATTGGTCATTCTTTACCTGATTTCTTTTTAAAGAAAATTACATTGTACATGCTCACAGACATTGTGAGAATATCAAATACAAATTTGTCTACATTGTTTTTGAGAAATTAGTGGAGTTCCAATTAACATCAGTCCTGTACTTACCTTAAATGCAATGCAATGATTGTTCCAAAGCATACAGTATAATGATTATTATACAGAGTGGCTCAGTAGAGCCATGCAAAGCTTTTTTTACATAAACGAAAGGAAAGTGAGTTTGGTTTACAGTGCAAAAGGATTTCAACACAATGATATTCACCCAGTTAGAGCACTGAGCTTAAACCAAATAAGGACTACCTTATTACAATGGAATTCAACCAAACAGCTGCTCTTAATTAACTGGATGAGCATCAATTACAAGATCATGTAAAAACAGTTTTAGTTACCTACTTGTTTTGCACTGGGCTTCCTTTTCTCTTGTTTTTTTGACCTTATAAGCAAATAAAATTTGTGTTCCATTCACATGCAAAAAGTGAGATAACAGAAGGTAAGAAAAAGAGAAGAAATGAAAGATCATTGCCCCTAGTGTTTGAGTCACCAAAGATTTTTTGGCAAGTTTGGACAAATACCATACAATACCATACCTTTACTGTGTCTTTATTTCCGCGGTATTTTTTTATCTATATCTATTTTTTATGGATGAGTACAGCAAAAGTGATAGAATTTTTAATAAATTATACCTCTGTTATATATATATATATATTTATATATTATATATTAAATTGTATTTACATTGAAAAGACATCCAGTACTCATTCCAAAACAGGATTTATACAAACGGACTGAATGCTCCTCTATTTTCATCGCTGTACAAGACCTAGGTAGCTTTTCAAACAAATCATGAGTAGTGGTGCTGCCACACAGGCTCACTACTGCCACCCTAGTGGACATAGTAAAGCCAGTAGACCAGGTTGAAGAAGGTAAACGCGATTGGGAAGACGACACGAGACCACTTGTCTATGGCATTCACATCCGTGAGGTCGGGGATCTTGACTTTGAGCTGCGAGGCCCTCCTACGCAAGCGGCCCTTCTTGTGGGCCATCGGCCGGTCAATGGCCGGTCGTCCGTACAGGTCTCGGCTGGTCATGGGCTTGCGGTACTGTATGCTGGCGCTGTCATAAGAGAACATGGTTGCCCGAGGGTCGTTAAGAGCGCCCATCATATCTGCTCCACTCATCTCACTGGTTAGGTTGGTTAGGAGGATGTTGCCATGAGCATCAACCTGAGGAAAGAGATCATCAGATTTCATTATCATTTTGAAGCCAAAACCCAAATAAGTAGCAATAACAAAGGTCACTTAGTCACTTATTTGGGTGAAATATCTCCAAATTTAAACATAACTTTGTGGACTGCCCATAGAGCTCTTTCTTTAAAGAAACCTTTTTTTCTGGACAATTTTGAAGAAAGCATATATTTTCTTAGAGGAGTTGGAATTCCCACAAATCCCATAACACCGAGCAGCTGGTTGTAGAACAAAGCATCTGAAATGCTCTGCTCCCATACCTGCATCTGCAACTTTTCCGAAATTCCCAATCCAACAATCATGTCCACTTTATGCAGTGATTGGCTAAGTGTTACAGTGGGCCAGTTTGACCTTTAGTGGTCGTAATTGTAAGGGCCTGACACACCTCAAAGAACTGCCAACTAATCAAATGCTTTGCATTGCATGTTTTTTTATATGTGGATATGCATACCACATGACTGACACTGTCAGCTGACTTCCATTTGCTTGAGGAGAAATAGTATTTGTTTCTTCGAAGAACATAAAAGAATGGAAAGACAAACCAAAAACGAACTAAGGTACCATTTTCACACCACTGTAAATCTGTTTAAATCACATGCTTGGAATACTAACCAAGAATCTGCCTGATTATAAAGGTGAAAATAAGAAGACACCCATTAAATTGGTGGATTATAGATATGCCAGGCTGAAAGTTCTTACTCAATGGCGTCATGCAAGAATCACTTGTATGATCAAATATGTTCTTATTGGCATGTAACTTGAATTGCATTCATATGAATGAATTTGTAGTTTAAATATAAATATATAATATAAATAAATGATATAAATATAGACAGGTAGCCTTATACAGTTATCAGTAATGGCCCAACAACACCTGATGGACAACTGTTGGCTTGGTGTGTCTGGGGTCTATGATCAGTAACCAAACAGTATGAAACCTGCACCGAGCCCCTTTCCCACCTGCACTTTGTTGCTCTCCAGTCTGCTCTTATTCTCATTGTTGGACTTGGCAGCCTTTTCCGCCACCTTCTTCTGCAGGTGAGGACCTCGGCCGAAAAAGATGTAGTTAACAAAGGCGTACTCCAGCAAGGCCAGAAAGACAAAGACAAAGCAACCCATGAGGTAAATGTCAATGGCCTTCACATAGGGGATCTTGGGTAGAGTCTCCCTAAGGTGGGTATTGATGGTGGTCATGGTCAGCACCGTGGTTATACCTGCAGACAAGCAGATGTGGACAGGACAGTTAGGAGTTCTTTTATTAGCCCTTATTACAAAACAACCATCATATAAAGTCTGTGACTGTTAAAAAGGATTGATGATCATATCCAGTGAGTACTAGCCTGCTTTCAAAACAATCTCAGTCCCCATGACATTCTCTGACAATTTCTTTTTCTGTTTTAGTAATGTCGTGGCTCTATGTAGGTCAGTGGGTTGGTCAGTCCATCACTTTGGTCCAGATTGAAATATCTTGACACATATTGGATACATTAACATTCAAGGACCCCAGGTGATGTATCTTAATGATTTTGGTAATTCCCTGACACTAGATTAAAGTGGTGGGATTTTTTTGGTTCGGATTGAAATGTCTACTGGACAGCTATTGGGTGGATTTCCATGAAATTTAGCAGAGATACTAATTTAACTCAGGATGAATTGCAATACTTTGACAATCCACTAACTTTTCATCTAGCATGAGGTCAGAATTTGTCCATGACTTTAGTTTATGACCAAATACCAGCAAAACTCACATCAGCTTCAGTCGTAGCATGCTAATACGTTGAAATGGTGCCCATGGTTAACATTACCAATAAACATCAGCATGTTCTGACTTTAGCATTTAGCTCAAAGCACTGTGGAGTTTTAGTACAGCCTCACAGAGCTGCTAGCATGGCTGTATCTCACTAGTCTTCATTATAGTGATTAACACAAACACTGGGAATGCTTGTAAACACATATATCCAATAAATAAAGTAGGTTAAGAAAGGAAAGCTATACAAGCCTACAAACAATATTTGGAACTCTCTAATCTTCCACAAAAAGTCCAGAATAATTAGTAGAGTTTATTTTAAAGCTGCACTAAGAAAGTTGTCATTTTGCAATCTGTGTTGTCGTCATTTTAGTTTAGCATGTTTGCATGCTAATTAATTAACAAAGTACTAAACACAAAGTGAAGCTGAGGCTGATAGCAATGCCAGTTTTGCAGGAAAAACCAATGGACAAAGTACGATTTTGAACTAATGATGATGCTTGATGAAAAGTCAGAAGATCACCAAGTTTGTTTGGATTCATTGCCCAGGGACCATGAATGTCAGAAAAGAATCTCATGACAATCAATCTAGTATTTGTTGACATATCTCAGTCCGGAATGAACAGCCAACAGACACACATTGCAATATAGAGCCAAGGCACTAACATGACTAAAAATCATCAAATACAATCTGTAAAAAATGGAAAAGTCACTGACCTAAGGCTACTCTGGCAGCCGAGGCATCATAGTTGATCCAGAAGGAGACCCAGGACAAGATGGTGATCAGGGTTGAGGGCATGTAGGTTTGCAGGATGAAATAGCCAATGTTCCTCTTCAGCTTAAAGCTCAGGGACAGACGTGGATAAGAACCTGGGAAAGACAAAGTACAGGAAGGCTGAAGTAGGCTAGATAAATATAGGAAGCCATGTTAATTACAAGGTACATATATGTCACCCATGCGCAAATGAAAGAGAGTGACCATTGCCTGCAGAGGCGAACGCACAAGGTCCTCCTTTGCTATTGGTTGAGGCTGCAACTTCGCTGCAAAGAGAAGAGGCGAATTTCCGCATGTGTGACTGTTCCCTTATACTGCGTTACTGGTTGATCTGACCTGGGTTTGTTTTGTGTAAAGATGTCAACAGTAAAGTTAATAATAGAATAATATCAGTCTGGGCAACCTCACAGCCTAAAGGAGAAGCAGCCCCATTGACCCTTTAGACATACACCATTAGCAACATGTGCTGAGGTTAGCAGTACAACCTGATTGGTGTGATCTTTGATTTGTCACGTTGATATAAATGGTGTGGTTGGAGATACGACACTCATTAATGAAAAAAACAAAGTTTTCAAGAGTTAAAGCGGTTACTGAAACAATATAGCCTAAATGTGATCACAGTGCTCATCGAAAGTGATCATTTTTATTCATTTCCCAGCTGTGCTGAGGCATTTCTGGCTCTTTCAACATTGTCAAAATGCCTCTCACAATTTCAGAAGATTCAACTTCTTTAACTTAAAGTTCATCTTGACCGTGTGGATATTAGTTTGACAAAATAATCTTAACTCAAGGTCCATTTAGCTTGCTGTAGCTAGCTGTAATCATGTGACCAACATGTGGAACTTTGGTCTTGTGATAACAGGTAGGTGTATGTTAGGTGGAGAGCACAACTCCTGCCTCTGTTCAAAGCGCCATTCATCTTATCATAAGATTACTATTCATCTCATTTATTAGTGATTCCAACAGTATCACATGTAGAGGTATACTCAATAATCATACCAATGTTAGTATAAGGAACGAAATTTTACAGATCACAAAGAATGAACTGACACTTACCTGTGGCAAACACAGCTTTCTTGGAGAGGGTTTGGTAGTCTATAATGGAAAACTGGGGCAGTTCGATGTTCTCCACCCCAGTGACTGAGCCTCTGTTGCTCCCTCCCTGCCAGTAGAACTCGATGTCATCAGTCGTATATCCATCTGAGAAAGGCAGGGGAACACAACAAGTTAGATTTCAATGGAAACACAAGGCCAAGTGCATTTGGCTTAAGGCACAATGACGTATACAGTATGAGTGTCATCAAGACTTGACTGCTGAGATCGGATGCCTATGAACATAAAGTATTACTTTTTGAATGTATTCTTGGATTGTCACAGAAGCAACCAAAAAGTATATATTTTCAGCCATACCAAATAAAAATGAGTGACAAAGAAACAAAAAAAAAAAGAACAAACACACATTTATTTTGAGGTCTGTCAGGAAATATGGAGGTTGCAGTGAGTTTTTAAAGTATTCATAAACTCAGCAACCTGGAGACAGAGCGAGCACTCTGAGTGAGGTAGACTTTGTCTCCCTCATACGAATGTGCTCCACAAACTTGGAGGGTCAAAGTCACGACATTCAAAAGAAGTTTTTTTTATAACAAAATAACCTTAATGTGAGATTCAACAGTCTTTCGTGGCCAAAGTCATTTTATAATTTAAGTTCAGATTTATTGTGCTGGGATAAAGACTTTAGACCATGACCCTGAACATAAGTGGCAACAGAAAATGGATGGATGGAAGGTCATTTAACACAAATAACCACAAACTGAAAATAAATTAGGAAAAAGAAAACAATTTCTCCATTAATTTCCCTAAAAGATTTGATATTTTCCACTGTAGTAATATAACTGTAAATCCAATTTTAAGTGCTTAACTACTATTATGCCTAACACAAAATGTCAGGCTCTGTGTTAATAAGGAGTAACAGTAATAACAAAAGCAATATTTAACCCAAAAACTACACTGCAGTCTTGTTAATTTCACCTGGATCAAAAAATAATTACAGTGAAATACTGGCCCAGAACTAGATGTAACATCATCCACAGGATACGTTACAACTATGTCCTCCAGAAGAGGAATTGAAGAAATAATAAATCATCGTTAAATCATTAGTGTGAGACTGATAAAGCCAAAAGTAGGCCTCTCATTTTCTGCTCAACTGCTGAACATCTTCCAGCTTCCCACAGGCTGAACTGGAACAACAATAAAGCCTTCCCTGTACTTTTCCTGGCAGGTCTCTGGGCTATGTCTACAGCCTGAACCAGAGTGAAACAGGCCCCTGCTGCCCTTTCAGTAATTAGACCGATTTAATTGGGCCAGCTAGTCTCTGTCTTCAGATTGTCCATCTTATCTAAAGGCAGCTGCAGGATTTCAGGGAATTAGCTACTTCTCATTACTGGAGGGGCTTCATTATGATTTTGCCCTCTTTTTTTTTTTTTTTTTTTTTGGTTTTGTTATCCACTTAATGTATGGGAGAAAACCTCCAAATTTGACATTAGAGATTAGTTTAAAACATGACAGTGTACTTTGAGTGGACAATCAAAATCATTAGGTTGAGTTAACTGCAGAAATTCTTCATTATCATTCATGTAGTATTTAAAAAATACAAACACATTGACACAATCTGAGCGGCTGTGGCTCAGAGGCAGAGCGGGTCTTGGTGCCACATGTCGAAGTATCATTGAGCAAGATACTGAACCCCGAATTGCTCCTGATGCCGTGCATCGGTGTGTGAATGTGTATGAATGTTAGTTTCTGTTCGATGGACTTTGTCATCACTGAGTGAATGTGTGTGAAAGGGTGAATGTGGCATGTAGTGTAAAAGCGCTTTGAGTGGTCGGAAGACAGGTCCATTTACCATTTACCAAATACTGTGCTGGTAATATGCGTTTGAGAAATAAATAAATACATACAAATACATTTAACGGTACCTTCCCAATTCTCACCACAGAAAAACAGATATCTTGGATGATTAAACACGATATCTTGGATGTTATTGTAGCAGTTTACCAATTCCACAATACTGAATTACAATTAAAATTCCTAAAATTGCAATTTCTTAAAGCAGGTACAAGGAACTTTCATTTTGTTTTGTGACTCTGGCGGCTCCTGTGGACAAAAGTGGTAGTGTTTGTACAGCCTCGTTTCAGTCTCATTCCCACCGTCGGTATTTGACATCCTGTGAATGAGACTCAAAAATCAACTATTTTGCTTGGCTCGGATTGGTTGTTTCATTCAGACCCGATGGATTCTTGCAAATACTGTACAGAAAATATGACAAAAACTTATTTTTATAAAAGTTACATACTGCAGCTTTAATTCCTTGACATAAGTATCTCTGACCAAAATGCAGTACTTGAGTAAACTTTATTTCTGCCATTCCATGTGATCTGTATCTGGATATCAGGATCAGAAAAACAAACGTGAAAAAAAAAACATGCAGGTTTAAATGCATGCAAAATGCCTTGCAATCAGAATGATAAGATAATCGGAATGCTCAAATCCCTTTGTGATACGATCTCACTCAGGTGTAAGTGACATGTAGGGCATATTCTGAAAGATACCCTCCAGACATTTTAAGACATAGGGAAATACTCTGCACGGAATATTAATTTGTGTCTGATGTTATTTTTCTACTAAAAAGATAAATTACCTTAAAATGTACGACTTCTCTCTTTAACTGCAGGACAAACCTTTCTCTTTCAGCAAACTCTCCACAAACATCATTCTGTATAGTGAAGCTCAAATGTTAAACTGAAGTAACAACAAAAATTCTTCTCAACAACTCCATCTCTTTCAGACAAGCCCTACAAAGCCCTCCAAAGAACCCTATACCGCACATTCTTCAGGAGACTTAAGAGGGAGTGCTACAATAAGAATTCTGACCCGAGGTACTATGTGGACAAGAACAATGGGTGGAGGAAGAGGAGCATTTAAAGTTATTAAAAGCTTGATGAAATTGAACAACCCCAGCGTGGCTGATAAGTCTGTGTACTTAATCTGCATGTTAATTAGTAATCATATTAAAATACAATGGACAAATCAGTGTGAATCATACATTGTCCCTGTGGGTGAGACCTTCAGTGTGTGCAAGTGTTTGACTTGCTGGAGGTGGTAAAGTTCAACATCAACATCAACATCTTCACATATTGGTAAGGCCACAAGCCTAGAATGCTTATAATGCATATTAAAGTAATACTCGCCCTAAAACCTATGCATCGTCACATTGTATGTGTAGCATGCAAGCTTGATTCAAGGCAAAAAAAAAGAAGCAAAAAATCAATCATAGAAATTCCTTGGAAGCTCTGCCTGATGTAGTCTATTTATTGATTGACTAGGATTAAAGATAACATTAGTTGTTATTGGTTGTTTCCAACCAAATATATCGTAATTTTTAACCAGGTTTGGAGTAATTCAGCAAAAGAAAATGAATACTTGTAAATCTGTTTAACATGTTCTATCCAGCAGTGATAGCTGAGTGTGGAAATCACATCTATTTTGAGGTGGATCCCTCCTTGTACAATGTCAGCAGTGATCCGGACAATGTTCCGGACTGTTGTGGTGAAGAGGCAGCTGAACCTGAGGGCAGTCAATCTACGATCTAACTCTCCCCTATAGTCACAAACTTTGGGTTAGGACTGAATGAATTAGCTCATGGATACAAGCAGCCGAAATGAGAGTCCATTGTTGGGTGGCTGAGCTCAACCCTATGAGACAAGACATCCAGAGGGAGTAGAACTGCTGCTTCTTTGTGTTGAAAGGTTTGAGAGGAAGTTGTCTGGGGATCTGATCAGGACATCGCCTGCCTTAGTTGCTAGACAACACAAATGACAGCCTTTATGTTACTAGATGTTCCAACCTGGTGGAGGCCAATATGTTAACATCTGTTCAGTTTCAACATGTTTGGATGTTTGGGTGCTTTCACACATAAGCTGTTTGGCGGTTCAAAGAAACTGCTATATTTGCCCATTTGGTTTGTTCTGTTTAGGTTGGTGTGACAGCTGTCAGCAACCAAACAACCGGACATAGATCACTTGAAAATTTGGGTCTTTTCAGTCAGTCTGACAGGATTTTCTGATAGTAGATATTTGATTTTAGCCAAACTACTATTAAATCCATCTGCTGATTGTGAACTGTCAAGGAAGTGATCTGTAGAAAAGGATATATTTATGCCTGGCTTCCAGTCCGTTTTAGAATTGATTTTAAACTTTTGTTGTTGTGTTTTTAACACCATTAATGGCTTGGCTCCCTCTTACTTGTCAGAGATTTTAACTTTTCGCAATTGTGGCAGAGCCTTGCGCTCTTCGGGTCAGCTTCTGTTAGAGGTCCCTAGGTCCAGACTTAAACAGTGGGGCGATCGTTCTTTTGCCGTCGCTGCTCCTAGACTGTGGAACAAACTGCCCCCTGACATTCGCACCACTACTGATCTCGGCCTTTTTAAATCGCAGCTTAAGACCCACTTTTTTAGATTAGCATTTAATTCTGACTAGGACAGCACTGTCTCTTAGGTGTACTCTTTTTATCTGCTCCTTTCTGTGCATTTCTGGAAGGCTTTTAATACCCTGCAGTGCTGCAGCACTACAGCACTTTAAATTGTATTTGTATATTATATATGTGTTATGTATTGTTTCATGGCTTTGTTGTAAAGCACTTTGGGTACCTTTCGGCTATTGTAAAGGGCTATACAAATAAACTTGATTTGATTTGATTTGATAGTTTCATAACCATGTTAACATGTGACTCTGATACTGTTTTTGCAGTCCCTTACTAAAACATAAGCAACAAGATGAAGTGAAAATTGCCTTTTTAACCCTATTTACCCTTGTAGATTACATCTCTGTTCATATTGTACACCTATTTAACAATTTATGCCAAACATTTTTTATTTTTATATCAAAATTCAATCATTTCTTTCTTCCTGTGAAACAAAATGTGATGTGTGCTTACGTAAGCGCGAACCAATTTCAACCAACTAATATCATGTCACCCAGCCATCATTCAATCTTCAACTTAGCTAGCTAGCAAAAGCATAGCATCAGCAGCAGTGTTCACTGATAACTGTACAAAACCACAGCGTTATCAGTGACTTTAATGAGACTGGATCATATTTTATGGAGGAAATATTGTCTGGTTTTCTCTCTGACGTCCTCCGGCTGCTCTGCCTCAACTCCGCTTAGCGTGACAGAATGGGGGTCAGCGGCCTTCCGGCGAACATAGCCGGACCGACACTGAACTCAGCCTCCGAGACAGGCAGGGGCCAGTTGTTGGAGGACAGTGGTACCAAGGTTTCCTGATGGACGTGTTGCTAAAAGTAGCTAACTGTTGCTAACGGTGATGTTAGCTGCAGATAGAAAGTTCTCATACAGCTAATGTTAGCTGACTCAGCCCTGGGCTGCCAGGAGCAGAAGAAGTTAGGAAAACCACCTCGGTACTGTATCCCCTGTCATCAAACTGGCCTCCGTCGGCCTCAGTATTGGGTCCTGGTCTGGCCATGCTGTTCACTGGGAGCTCACATTTTGTCACAGTCAGCTAGGACCACAATAACTGCTTGATGGGGGACATACCATACATTCAGCGCTATTGGCTACCGCGACATGTCCCTATCTACCTTCCTGTTTTTACAGGAAATACGTGAATACGCAGAAGCACACAGCACTCTGCTTTCTGTTTTATGGGGTCTTTAACAGATTAGGTCAAATTACAGTCTGGAATCTGAATTTCCTGTGTGGGTCCATGTAGCCTGATGATGCATACTGACATCACTAAAACTGTCAGTCCATATGACTTCTAGGGCTGGGTATTATTAAGAACCTCACAAATCAATTTGATTTGGATTCTTTAGGTCACAATTCGATTAGATATCGATTCGATTCTATATTGATTTAAATGCTTCGATATCGATTCAGTGCCAACTGCAATGACTCCAAAACCGCTGTCTTTACCTCTGTGTACAGCTTTGGGACGGCGATTTCCGTCATGTGTTTGCGTGTTAATGGCGTATCGTGGTTCCAGTGTGTATACCATCTTCTTAAAACCCCCGTTATCCACGACACTGTACGGTCGTAGGTCCTTACATATGAAGACGGCCACAGACTCCGTTATCTTCTGTGCGCGGGCAGAGTTTGGCGGCAGTTTGCAAAGGAAGGATCTGTCGAGTTGTGTCTGTTTTGAATCCACAGGTTTAGCCGCTGGTTGCTGCAGAGCATCTGCATGGTGTCGGCTTCAGTGGTTGCGCAAATTTGTTGTGTTATTGCAGTATTTTAGTACTGCCTGGCACCGCTTACACACTACCTTACTTTTGTCTATTTCCAGTGCTCTGGGTTTACATCTGCTTTTAAAGTTGCTGGTTTAACACTGCTGCTACCTGCTTCGGTTGCCATGTTGTTGTCGTGTGGTCCAGTGCGGCCTCCGTCCGTACAACGCAAATCACACAAAGGTGTTACTCACCGCACCTCCACTGGCCAGGGGCTTGAATCGATTCAGAGGATTTAATGAATCGATATTGAATTGGGAAAAAATATATTGCAAATGCATTGATCGATATTTTTACCCACCCCTAATGACTTCAACTTTACAGTCAGTCAGAACACAAATTACTACAAGGCAACAGTGTATTGTTTATTTCCTTGGTTTGTACCAACTAAAATTGGTGTGAAAGAGACCTTAAGAATATTCGGTGCCTGAGGCAAAACTTTGCATTGGGGCTGTGACATTCATGCACACACGCACACACACTCAGTGCCACTTACAGCTCTCAATCTCCAAGGTGCAGTTCTGCTCATCCAGCGGGTATCTGCGCAGGTCCATCATGCAGGCAGCTGTTGTGGTGATCCTAAAAGAGAAAAGGTTTTAAGTCATATACTGATATCAGATGAAAAATCCACCGCAAGCTCTAATGCACTGCGACCTTAATATATTGCACTACCACAAGTAGAAATCTTCATTTATATGCACACACAGGCAATTCAGTCCAGACCATAACACATCCAGCATTCAAGTTATAAAGGAGGAAAACATTTCATTTCCTGATGCCTGGGGAAAACACTTCGCTTTATGAAAGAATGAACAATACAGTTCACCCATAACACACGCATTGAATCCCTCAGCACACTTCCTGTACCTACTCAGCCTTCAATCACACAAATCCTTTTACATCTCGACTGGAACTGAACTATCTGTTTCTTTCCCATAATTGCCTTTGCACTGCTGAAGTCACGACTGCAGGGGAGAAAAGCCTCGTGTTCAATCTTAATTACGACTATGAGTAATTAAGAATTAACACTAAAATCCAGGCAATCGGGTGAAACCCGCGACTTCCCCCCTTTGAAGTCTTACATCTGAAGGAGGAAACACTTCAGTTTGACAGTTTAGGAGAGAATTAGTGATTGAGTCATTTTGTTTTTTTAATTTTCGGAGCTCTGTGTTGATGAGAGCCACTAACAGTTCTTGGCGAGAGTCAGAGAGGCTGTAGTCGTTCACTGCATCAGCTCCATTCATTTCGTCTCCTGGAACCGAAGCAGGCCCTGGTTTCAGCCTTGTGCAGCTGCTTATGGGTTTGTTGTATAGTGAAAGGGTCAGTCATCTTAATCATTTGTTTAAAACAGCAAACATAATTAAACCTTATCCTAGCTAACCACTAAAACCATTTAAGCACATAACATTTAATATGCTGTAATTGGAAAATATATTACAGGGGTTATGAAAGAGTAATCATTTAAACTGCAAATTTGGCAGCACAGCATGGCAAACGATCCCTGCACGCCTCATATACTTTAGAGAGGTGTGCATACTGTACCAAAGGGAGTTCAGCAATATACTCAGTGAAAAAACATCAGAAGAACTAAAAGTACATTTTGTGAAAAACTTAAAATTTTATGCTCAAAAGGAGAAATTTCTAAGTCAAAATTAGCCATTCCTTTTTGGAAAGATGGATCTCTGTAATAATGTAGCCTTCATTCAAATGTGTTATAAGCCTGTAGGTGGGATTAATGTTAGAGCAGTGTTTCCCCTAGGGGCACTTTGGAGTACTGCATGGGGTAATTTACCTTTTTTAATATATTAATTAAAAACATATCAGCCATGCCTAATTCCTAAAATGATCATGTCTGTCATTAACCATACTATAAGTTCAATAAAAGTTGTAAATGTTAACTTTTATAAATCAGATTTTATATTCAGTAGTCATATTTTCAATGCAGTCGTTAACTACTCTAAAACCTCTGGAAAAGAGTTTGGTGACTGCAGATTCCTCTTCAGTGAAACTCATCTACTCACTAAATTCTATGTAACGTATTAAAAGGATGCAGTTCAATGCAGCTTCATGCAGCATCATTATGCATGTATTACTGCCTAATGATAAAACATTGGTTTACGTGAATATAGTGACGGGTTCTAAACATTTAAAATGAAGCATTTAGGACACTGATGGTGCAGCGCTGCATTGTACCTCTTTATATAGGCCTGTTTTTCTACCAGAAATGTTTTTTTTCAGGGGGTTGAGAACCACTGTGTTAGAGCACAGAGCACAGAGTACAGGTCAGACTGCAGCTTGATTCTCTTGGGGGGGATGAAATGTATAGTCCACGTGAGGTTATGATGAAAGGCTCACTCTGCCCCTTTTTTTCTTTTGGGAGAAGATGCATCTATTAATCAGTGTGCCTTTTTTGTTATTTGATTTTAGTACATTCATTTTACATTTTTATAAATTCTGTACACACATGCTACTGTTTATACCTTGGCCTTACTTCATTTTTTGACCTACGTTACCAAAGGAGCCATGTAATGTGGCAGAATGTCGACAATGTGTAGGAATAAAGGACGCCCTCCTATTTTGCTTGGTTTCACCCTTCATTACAGTAATAATGAAGCCTCATGCCATATGTTCTTTTGGATACTTAGAAATGCTGTGAATTTGCATGTCAGTGGTACAACACTCAATATACTAATTCCGGGCTTTTCTTCCCCTCTGGATAGGGCTGAGGAAAATATGGGGCACAAGGACGAAGAGGCTGGTAGGGTAGGTGTGTGTACAGTACTGCAGCTGTATTGTCTACAGTCCCTCTAGCTGCTGTGACACATTTCCCCAGCCATAACACATCATGCATCACTGAGCTCCAAAAAATTCCATCAAACCATCTACCTGTTTAATTTAGGCACATGGCCTCCTACTGGTCTTACTTGAAAGCAACTTGACCAAATCTTTTCAGGGTCACAAAAAAAACAAATTCATTATTTTTATTAAACATTTACTGAAAGGGATTAAAAAGTCTTTGGGGATTTAGCACTCATGCCGTTTACTGCCAAAGCCTCTGGCGTTGTAAGGGAGTTCCATAAGATGAATAGCAGTGTCTGAGTGATGGGTCAGTGCTTCCCAACCTGGGGGTCGGGACCCTGACTATGGGTCACCAAAGCTTCATGTGCGGTCACAAGGCCTTCTTGATTTTAAGGGGTGTAAGAAAACTTTAAAAATGTACACAATAGGTTTATATTGCAGCATTTTGTTCATTTCTAAAGTGTAGACCTGAACACAAACGTTCACAGAGCCTTCACTCTCTGATAAACAGTCTCATCCTGCATTAGAGTTAAAAAATGTATCAGGGAGGAGAAAGCACTGAATTTGTCAAAAAGACTATAAAAAAAAACACATAATACAGACAGAAGATTGTTTAAAAAGTTACAAAAAATATCCGAAAATATTGAATATAATACTATAATACCATAATACTCAAATTTAATGTAAATTGCTTGTTTTACACAAACATTCTGCAGTTATTGCATTCATATTATATATTATATATATCATTGTACAGTTTATCCCTTGTTCTGTATGTGTTGAATATAATATATGTCACTGAGTGGCGGGGTCGTCTGTTTACTTTATGATAGAAAAGGGGTTCTTTAAGGAAAAAGGTTGGGAACCACTGAATTAAGTGGACCTTGAGTTAAGAGATATTAATCCAAATACTGAGAATGAACTTCCACACTGTCAGTGTTACCTTCGTAAACCTTTTACGAAAAATATCTGTGCATGGCTTTTTTTTAAGCTAAAAATAGATCTTTGATAATAAAACCTTTTCCGAAATGTATGGAAAAGGTTAGTGGATGTTCATTTCAATTGTTCAAGTTCAATTGTGCAACTAGTCTTTCTATCAAAATAGAACTGAAGCATCCCTGTAACTGATTAAATGTGCACATTCAGAATTTCAACACTTCGTACTGTTACCGATTTCTGATACATGTATTAGCCTAATTCAGGGGTCAGCAAAATTCATTACACTGCCATTTTTGAAAAAGGGTTAGGGTTTCGGTTACAAATTAAATTTTTTCCCTCCGATTTTGAATCCATAGCTAGCCTAGCTAGGGAGACTCGACACTAGTAGCCACTGCTATTGAGGTTTGGCAAGATATAAATATAAAATATACTAAAATGTGACCAAAACTAGTAAGCATTTTTGTCCAAAGACTTAGACTAAATCTAATAGCTGCCAAAATTAGGACTGCAGTCAGTGTGTGTGATTACAGCAGGACACACCATGGTCACATTATATATTACCTTTATTTAAACTCAAAAAATGTACGCCAAATCCAGCCACAACACATTCTGGTGGCGAAATCCAACCCTGGAATATAGATCAGTCACTGCAGCAGAAGCTGCTACAGCAAGCTGGACCCTTATGCCTCTGTGGCCCAGAGGCATAAATCCACCTTGACATTCCATCAGTGGTAGGCCTCTTGGATGAGTGGTGAAAGGTTCTCGCTTTAAACGACAAAGTCCACCGGATGGTTTTATTTGGACCTGACAAAAGTACAGGGGGTCGGAAATGTACTGAACATGTCTCTGTATCACCTGCATCTTTAATACGTTGCCTGTCCTGGTGCTAAATGTGGCCATGGCGTGGAATTCTTCTCATTGTGGCTGTGCAGAGCTCAGTACATTTTATTTTGAGCTGAAATTATGTTTTTTTAATACTTATTAGAAACTATTTTGTAAAATAAGCAAACCTTTGCTGCTGAGAGAAAAGGGAAGGCAAGAAAAATCCACTATGCTCCTCCTCGATCATCTCACTTCACTCTGCTGACAGTGACTGTCCAGCTACTCGCACCTCTCTCCATACTCAGCTGTTACAGTGTCAGGATGTAAAAAGCCCCTCAAGTCATGAATATTCATTATTTTCTTACCTTGTTGAATATTCTGGGGCTGTCGATCCATGTCTTGGCCACACTGAATGCATTAGGGGAGCTCTAGATTAATTATAAAGCAGGTGCAGAGAGCATGGATGGACAGTATAAATAGAAAGTGTCAGCTCTTTAACCTTTCAGGATGGACCGCTAGCATGCTGCAGTTCAGCTGTTCTATAATGGCAATCATTAAGTCTTCACTGGCCTAACTGGATTTATATGTTTGAATCATCCAAAAAGTCTGTTGACTCAGCCTCAAAGTCACATGCACACACATCCTTAAATTCTTTACAGGTGCTGGGTAAACCAGAAATCACTGCTTTCTCCCTACCAAACTGTTTGTTGAGGAATAAAATTGGTGCTCATCACTGCTGATCGTGGAGATTTTTTCAGGCAAAAACTGCTGTTATATATATATAAATATAAATATATGGTCAGTTTATCAAATAATGCCTACTTGAAAATTTCCAGTTGGTCAAACAAGAATGGCCGTACATCTCCTGAGCAAAGAGGTCGACTCCCAAGATGACCAGCCGGTCAACTACTCATGGTTTCAAACAGGTCACAGGTGTGCACCCCTTTGGTAGTTTACCAGTAGCTAATCTCTATAAGCAGATATCTGCATATGAATGCATAATCTCCATGTAGCCAAGA